AGCTACTTTCTCATTGTAGCTGCGACTTTTTTTTTTATTTTTTGCCACAAGGAGCTATTTTAGTTATATTTAAATAAAACTAGCCATTTTTTGGAGATTTAAATTTTTTTACTTGGCCACACCCTGCCGTAGGCCCGTGACCTCTCACGTTTGCTCTCAATCATGCCAATGAGTCTGCGCAGTGAACACACCAGCACGCCACGCCTGCCATGACGCACACCACAATTTCATTATAAGCATCAATCAAGATGGCGGAGAAAAAATGAACATCTTGTTTTAACCACGGACACAAAAGTTATACCACAATTCATGCACAGTCATGTCAACCAGATACTGAGAGAGAGACAGTGCATCATCGTGTCATGTGTGCTGGGATGCAGTATTTTGAACTTACTTTGTGTGTTGACTGAAATAAGTTTGTATGAATAAAGTTTTTGTTTTTGGAGAATCATAATATCTCTTATCTGTTGTATTTGAGCAGGACTGGGGTGCACTTTGGTGACACATAAAACAAATTCCCAACAGTATGTGTCTTTTGTGTCTTTCCATCATTTCCATCATGTTTGATGTGCTTGCAGATCACAAGCATTTCCTCATTTCACTTCAGAATTGTTGTTATACTTCATCTTTTGATATATTTGTTTATACTGTCATCATTTGTAAAGTGTGTATATATATATATATTTACTTTCCTTTACCTTTACCAAATTTACCTGTATTTACGTTGTTTTCATATTTGGCGACTTTTTGTGAAGAACGGAGACTTTTGAGGGTGGTTCTAGAGATTTTCTGAGGGAGGGGTTTGGCAACACTGCTGTGCTCGTTCTCAGAATACAGACAGTTCTCCTGACCTGCTAAAACCAGCAGTTTTGGGGAGAAAATCCTTCATCTCGTTCATTTTGGCCAAGGATCCGCTTAAGGTATGAACTATGTTTCACACATCCATGTTGTTGTTTTGTTAGTTTGTTAGATTTGTCTTTCTTTCTCTCTGTCTTTCTTTTTTTTCTCTTTTGTATGGTTTGTTATTATGTTTTTGGATCAATCTTTGTAAACTCCAGCAATCCAGGAGATTCTAAGACTTCGTGTTTCTAGACTAAATGTGAAAAAAAAAAAAGTGTTCAGGTCTGTTAGATCTTACAAAGTCATCTTTATTTCAAGTCCGCCTGCTAGGCTGCACACTGTTTGGGGGGGAAATAGATTAGTCCAAATTTAAGGAGTTTCGTCGATTGTGCATGCATCACACTGTAAGTATAGCTATTTATAACATTGTTAAACGTTTAACTGTTAAAATCAAGTGTGAACATTTAACGGTGTTTAGACAATAATAGTCTGCAGGCATGGGTTCATCTTGTGAAACCTGAAAGTTCTCTGAAGTTGTTTACGTTCTCAGTTTGGCTGACAGCCGCGCATGCGCTCTGAAGTTTACAACTAAATGTTTTGCAGACGTGGGCATGCAGTGTCAGCGCGCGCATGTTCTTTCTATGTTTATGTTTTGTACAGGACACCAGTTCCGACTTCCGATAGTGTTTGTTTGGTGCTGAAGCGCAGGAATACATCATGATTCTGTTCACATATGGAGATGATCTGGAGGATCTGGATCAGACCATTGATGAATATCTATTCTACAATATCATGCAGATCTGCAGCGACTGCTGACTGAATGTGGAGGAAAGTTTCACTGGTTCAATAACCAGAGAGAATCAGACGATCAGATACGAGAACTACTGCAGAAGATTGAAACAATGATGGAGGAGAACGGAGGGAAATTTAAACACATGAGGAGGATACACAGCATGGTCAGCATTGTCAATTGTAAGTCATTTTGACCTTGAAAGCAACATCTCTATTTTACAGAGATAAAAGTCAGGAGAAGCAGCTTTGGTCAAATATTATTTCAGAATAAATTGACAGAGGTCGTCACACATTCTTTAATGAATTCATCTCATGATTACAGTCGAGTAATAGTGTTAAATATCCTTGCTCATCTCTTGTCTTGGGTGCAAAAATCTTGGATTGGAAAGTTCTATAGATAATAAAAATTAATTCAATCATGTTCATTTATTGATGTTCATTTTTTTTTTTTGTCTAGTTTTTATATGATTAGACATTTGGAAAACCAAATTAATATTTAATGCATTAATATAACATGAGTGAAACTATGAGCTGCATGCAGGATAACAGTATGTGAGAAAGCTGTTTCTGCTCCAGTTCTCTGATGCACAGTGATGAAGGTGAATTTATTACACATTTATTGTCTCCTTTATTAATTTGGTGGTGCAATTATATATTTTGTATTTTACACATACTTAAAATGCTTTGGCCAATAAAACAACTTGAACTTGAATCAAAAGAGGGACTGGATCCAAATGTAACAAACTCATTTAATAATACAAAATAAAAATAACTGCACAAGAAAACGGAACAAAAACAGAAAGCAACACTCTAGGGACCTCAGCCGAGACTTCACATGGAACTGAGAAACAGAGGACTATATATACAACCCCTCAGAGGACCTCAGATGATGCCAACCCTGAAACAACATACAGAACTACCACATTTTGCTATAAGTTTGATTGCATCATATAATAATTGCTGTTAATAGTGTTCATTGTCTGTTTTATTACGTCTTTAATTGATTTTTCCGTACATTTCTGCCATATGTACATTAACTGACAGTCACCACTGATAAGCTAAACTTAATTTTCTGTAAAGTTGCTTTGCAACGATTGTGAAAAGCGCTATACAAATAAACTTGAATTGAATTGAAGTATACAGGGGATAACAACTATTAGCAAAACAACTACAAATAGAAACCACCATTTCAACATAAAAGTCCCTATAACAATCACTGGGAATCCAACAGGACAGATTACAGACACACTGAAGAAATGCCAGTGTTCCTTGCTTTATTTCGTTGACTCCTTGCTGATATAGTGCATATGTTCACAAGAGGAATTGGAGAATGAATGAACAATGAGCGATCTGATTAAACATCGTGATCGCATGAGTGATTTGATCTTTCTGTTGTAGTTTCAGCTGAAGATCCAGATGAGACTGATGTGATTCCTGAGAGCAAAGACCAGATCAGGCCGGTTCTGCTGGGAGAAACTGGATCTGGGCAAAGTGCCACTGGAAACAGAAATCTGTTTGAATCTTCAGCCGGTTCAAACTCTGAAACGAAACAGAGCCGCTCAGAAACCAATGTCAGGATGGGTAAAGATATCTGGTTTTATTGATAACGTGCATGAAACACATTCAAGAGAACATGGATGAGAAAGCAGGTGGCTCCAGAAATGCAGAGTTTAGCAGATGAGCCTCGTCACAAAGGTGATTCTGAAGGTGATCGTTGCTTCTGATCTATAGTTTTCAGTCACATGAGACCTGGAGAACAAAACATCCATAGAGCTGCAGCACAGGCCTGTCTGCTTACTGTCTGCTTCACACACATGTAGATCAGCTGTACAAAGAAGAAAAACAAACATGTGAACAAAAAGACAGTTTTGTGATCCATATATAGAGCACCTGCTGCAGTATCTCAATCACTGAAAACATTAAAAAAAAAAACACGCTTAATATGGAAAACATATGAGGTGCCTTAATGTACTAAAACAGTGATCTTAAAAGCTGATTGACGATGCTTACTATATACAGGTGACCAGACGAAACCAGCATGATGTGGTTTAATTCCAGGCTGCAACACAGGTGCAGAGGACTCGTCTGGTTCTTGCGTTAAATGGTTAAGTGGTTTCTATGAATATGCTTAACTGCTGTTGTTTTCTCTCTAAAACATGGATTACCAGCAAACCCTGGAGGCTGTAAAACATGTTATTGGGGCTCGAAGGGGAAACTAGCAGCACAGAAGATGTGTGTAATTCAGTAAGAAAAAGCATTCATGATGCTACAGAAGCTCCAGAAAAGCTCATCTGCTTTTTTTCTCACAGCTTCAGCTTGTTAACATGATTGTTTAAAATAATTAATTGTATTGTGCTTTTAGAAAGCTAAAGCTGATATATTTTATTTAGAGGATCCGTGTACTTACACTAAAGATGATTATTTTTAAAAGTCATGAAGTGACATGATTTGTGTCGACTTCACGTGTAACCTTATTTCATACTGTTATAAATCTTTTCTATTTTAAAATCTGTGCAGTCTAGTTTTTTTTATTCAGTATTAATGTCTAAATGCTATTGCAGTGCAATATAGTCTCACTCACACATGTTGCTTTTCTAACTGTGCTTATTTCTTCCATCTGTAGCAGAGGGTGATATAATCCGTTGCTGTCAAAACAAAAAAATGACCCATCTGACCACATTCAAGACATTTATTTAGTGACGGTAATAAATACGTTTCATATACATACTGAAGTAAATCATTGAAGCTTGATATTCAACTCGTACCTCTGCTGGGCACAATTTACATTCACATAAATTCACAAACAATACTCATACACAAGCTGCATGCAATATTGAAATAATGTTGACATGTTTGGTAACCTTATGTTTTGACTTTTTGGTCATTAGTTTCCTTTTCACGCTTCAGCTTCACAAACAGGTCAAACGACCATGATATTTACAGGCAAACATTCTGGTTAAACCAACATATTCTGGTTATTGGGGGTTCTGGTAATATGGGGATTAAATGCTGATGGGAAATTTATATGACGCCTCAAAGCTGACTCATAGTTTTTGACTTTATGACAACAGATCAGAAAATACAGCATGCATCATCCTCCTCACACGCAAACATCAGCTGAAGAAGAGAATCAACAACAACAACAACAACAACAACAAAAAAAGTCCGTCATGTCATTCCAAATATGACTTTCCATCTATGACACACAAAGAAAATATTTTGAAGAAAATCTTTAGACAAGGGAGATTTTGAGTGAACTATCTAAACTCTTAGCTTCCTCTTAACTCTTCAATTCAGTTGATCATGTGTTTTTATTGTGTTGTTTGTGTAGATAAGTTGATTTGATATCGTATCACTTCTGTATAGATCAGCTGAGGTGGATTTGGGCTCTTTTCAGAGTGTTTTTGGCTCCAGTACAGTAGGCGGAGCGGCCATCTGGAGCGTGGGGTTTTCCCGTAAATAAATATAAAGAAAGAATTACAGTAAATGTACATAGCCTATATCCCTCCATCGGCCCAGACGAATGTCTCGCGCGGCCCACTTGAGTCAAACATAATTATTTTAGCGTGCAGCGACTCAAAAGCGCTCGTCAATGTGAAGTCAACATGTTTGAAAGAGCCAATCAAATGGAAGAAGGCGGGATTTACTCTTAACAGACGCTGAGCTGAGGTAAGATGCAAGCAGCTGAACATGACGAGACAATTCAGCAATATTTGCCAACGGTTTACGATTGAAAAAAAAAAAAGTTAAACGACAGACATTACTTTTCAGGGAAGCAAACTACTGGCGTTTTCGAATTTCTTAATGCCATTTACGTCATTCGTCACAATATAAGATAAGACTGAATGTTTGTAAATGCTTTCTTCTGTAATTTCACGTGTCTAAAAAAGAAAAAAAAAACGTAAATATCATTAATATCAAATATGAAGACTTTCGCTTTCAAGTGCCGTGATTAGGAAAGTGATATATAGGCCTATTATAGCCTAATAAAAATATAATTTGCTATTTATATCACATGCATTATTTTATGTACGCACTGGTGGTCAAGTGTTTGAAATAATAAAGATTATCAATTAATTATTATCATTTGTTATTTGTGATCAATTATTACTAATGGTTCTTATTATTATCAATACTGAAAACTGTTTTATTTTTTTTTTGGAAACTGTGATACTTTAATGTTGTGGTAACTGTGATACTTTTTCAGGATTATATGAATACTAAGTTAAAGAACAGCATTCATAAAATAACTTTACTGTCACTTTTTTATCATCAATTTAATGCAACCTTGTTGAATAAAAGTATTAATATATATATATATATATATATATATATATATAGAGCCGATCCTCCCTATACGCAAAATATGCAAGCTGCGAAGGGCCCCTGAAACACCAGGGGGCCACCTTGCTCTCAAAGATGATTTAATTTTAGATTCGTTTTTGAATTTGGCCAGCGGTTATGAAAACATGAATGATCATCTCTTTTAATGCAGTGCGCTGTCAACCTTTCTACGTAAAAATCAGTCAAATCATGTAATGTTAATGTCGTACAGTCTTGCTCGAGACTAAAAAAAACGACAAGACTGTGATGACACGTTTAACGGTCATCAGCATCGTAAATCCTCAAGTTTTTCATTTGTATTTTTAAAATAATGTATCTACATTTATAACACTATTCTTTGTATTGTATCACCTTTGCATCAAATTACAAAAAAAACAGTTAACGCTAATGCGAGGGTGTTTCTAATGCAGCGTCTATAGGAGGGACGGTAAATTTGACATCGTTCTCTCTTCTGACTGCCGCTATCAGTCTCTCTCAGTTTTTGTCCTTTTATTAAAATTCATGAAAACACTATCGTGGAGTTTTTCTTTTACTATTTGAGCAAATGGGAATGCAAAACATATATTTGTAGTATTCTCCCATTGACTGCAATTCAAGTTAACCCAACTATGACGACTTCCGCTGCTGAGAAACCCGCAAATGTGAAAAAGGTCCACTGAGCCGGTTTAACCAACTGTCGAAGTTTACCGAGGATTACCGAAGATTCTGATGAGTGAGTTGACAATACTGTGCAAGCCTGAGGCGCGTACTGGAAATATGCTTATTATGACTGTTATTAATTTACATTTTATTAAAA